CCGTCGCCCGGATCGTGAACAGCGTATGTTTAATTCATGTCGCGCGTTATGCACGCGAGCCACGGAGCTCCCTGTTTTTCCACCGTCTTGTCCTTCGTGTTTTGATTTCCCAGCACGATGATGAAGCAGTCTGTCGTGCGTTCCTCCGACTCATCCTTCTCCTCTTTGTTTTTGCTCACACCCTTCGAGAAGTCGACGCACGCAGTTGTGTCAACCGTTCCCATTTTCTATTGCGAGTTTGAAATTATTGCTCGCAGCCCCAACAACTGCCTCGTCTTCTGTACATTTTCGACAAGGTCTTCTCTCGGTCTTCTCCATTCCATCACTCGTCAGAAAGCTGCACAGGATTCGAGGCTCAGGGAATTTTAGGTGGCTAAATTTTTGTTCGAACTACCGAACGCGATGTTGCGGCAATTTAGAGAACGCACGGATGTTCTTTGATGTTAGGATATTCCGCGGGTTAGTTTTCAATCGCGTGACCAGTTGGAGCGGAAACCTTTGCGTGCCGTCAAAATTGCGAACGAACAAATATGCATATAATTATACGTTGCGCGGCGTTTGCGCTTTCTTTGTAAGCACGCCAGCGGTGATGGTTACGCTTATTCGCCACATTATTCTTTCTGAAACACTCGTCAAAATCTCGATATACTCAAGTTTAACGATTTTCTTGTATTATTACTTGATCAATTTTATAACCGTTTGCATATTCGTTTCCTAAATATCTGTAGCGAGAGAATATCTTTCGCTACTAATGGACCGGAATTTTCATGGAACTTTCGACAATTTTCCAAGCTCTAACGGCGCATGTAATACATAAATACCGAGATAACTTTACGCATTACTGTCTATGTATATGCATTTCTTAGAGAAAGCAGAAGGGTGAACTAGTGTACGTTTTGATGTCGAATAACGTGAACCGCAGATAACAATTCTAACTGTATTTACAAGTATTATATATAAAATGCAATACACCATCTCATCGAGTATTATAAGTTTCAACATTTAAAAAAGTGTGTTTGTAACAGTGATACTCTTTACTGGGTTACTTTCTAGGTTCGTTAAACAGAACGAACGAAGGGGAATTCTGGGTGAAACAAAAGGTATATGGGAACAAAAGTGTAATACTAACTGTAGCCAAAAGTGAAAATATTTTTCTTTTTTTTGTACTTTACACTGTTAAATCTATAGTGTCAAATTTAACCTAACGTGAGTCGCCATTGCTCCTACTAAATATATCATTATTTATTACCAAAACGATAGTTAAATTTGACTCTATATCGTGTCAATTTGACATTATATAGTATCAAATTGACACTGTATAGTGTCAAATATAAAATAACGTTATGATTGAGTAGGAGCAGTGGCGACTCACGTTAAGTTAAATTTGACACTATAGATTTAACAGTGTAGAAAGAAAGTGTCGTGCTAGATTCGCTAAGTTAGCACGCCATATTTTCAGTTTTGATTTTTTAGTATAAAAAATGCAGACCTTTTTTCATTTTGATAAGAAAGTATAGGACTAGGAAAAGTGCTACTGGAACTGTTATTATTTTTTATATTAATAGAACAATGTGCTAACTTCACAATCCAAATTTATGTGGATTTGTAAAGTTAGCACCACATTTTATTAATATAAAAAAAAATAATGACAGTTCCATTAGCACTTCTTTTTCATATTTCTACAATTCTTTATAAAAAATGAAAAAGAATTTGTTATGCTATAAAAAAACCAAAATTGAAAGAACTCTGTTTAAAAATAATTTTATCATAAAATTTTGCTAAAATTAACGAGAAATTGCGCTGAAATTGCGACAAATTAATGCGACACGACATTTTTTTTTTAAGTACCGTGATGTCTTGTACATTTAAAGTCTATTAAAATTGGTAATTGTGGAATTTTGTTTTCAAATTACATATATGTGTACAACTCGAGTAGCACTAACGGAAATTAGTACACAGGTCACGAAATAATTTGCAACGTGATCATGTATTATCATGCAAACAACGTCAGATCTTTTCGGTTTAATATTGCAAATGATGTAGCTTTACGGAATCTTGTTATCGAACGCTCTGTATTAAAGGGTCCGATCGAAATTTCTTTAAAATGAAATCGATTTAAAAATAGGGATATTCTGTAAAATGAAATCTCGAGTATGCGCCATTTTTTCGATAACATAACAGTCCATTCGTGACTATTGATACTCAAATATTTGATTTGACGAGAGATACTCGAGCTACTTTAAGACATGATTTAAATCTTAATTAACGAATTCTTGCACACTTCGGAGCGATCGACTGTGATTTCTCGGTAATATGATGGAAGGAATTAATTTTCCACCAGCTGGCTTCCCTCCTGTGCAAAATTCGACCGATAATATACCTATATAAAAGCAACATATATGAAATTCAAACTAATTATAGAAAGTTTATAATTTAATGCAACTATTTATCGTTCTATAGCTTCCAATTTGAAATATTGCGGGAGACATAAGAAAATGCCATTAGATTTATAAGAAACGACAATACTCTGATTCTGGACGAATGATTTTTGTTTACCGAGTCACTTATCATAGACGTGGTAACCCGGAAGAATTTTTCAGAGAGGTCCACCACGTTTTGCGATAAAAAGATTAAGGATTCTTCCTTCGTCACATTGGTCGATCGAACATATCTTTCCATTTTGTCGTCATAGAAACGGCGTATGAGAAGAGTTTTCGCCGATTCGGTTTTCTCCGAGAATAGCAACGTTATACATGATCACGCCGAGAAGGAGGACGATGTGTGTATAACACCAAAATTACAGGAATCTACGATTGATGCATCATCCGCATATATCGTTCACGTTAATCTTGTCGAGTCAAGAGAAAGAGAGAAACTTTGCTATTTTTCTCGCAAAAATCCATTTATTGAAATAGACAATGAAATTTGAAGCGGCGTGTGTTTTATTCAGAATTCATTGGGTGAAAGTCTCTCTGCAGTTGTATTGAGTTACACCTCGTAAAACTCGCTCTATTGCAGCTCGTCGCCCACCTTCTCGGGAAGTCATAATTTCGGCAAAATAAAACGGCGGACGTCGATGTGACGTGGTCGGCTATAAAGCGCCGCTGAAAATTGTCATAACGTCGTTCCGGATACGGTCGCGGTGAACGCGCATCCTGCTCGGATTTTCTCGCGCTTGACCCATTTTTGTCCGGCTCTCGAAGAACGCGCATACGAGGCATTATTACTTCTTCGGAATTTCATTAATTCCCACCTTCGTCAGATTTCCCGACAGTTTTTAGCGCAATGCCCTACGCCTACTTCCTTTCTCCTCTCCTCCCCCGCGTTTTCATAATGATTTTTCTTAATCGAGATGAGTCTGGATCTAAAGGTAGGGGCAAAAGCATTCATTAATATTAACTGTACAAAAAGTTCATCTAAAAAGAATAGGCCTATAATCTTCATTAA